AAAAAAAAAAGAAAGAAAGACAACACCCGTAGAAGAAAGAAAAAAAAAAGAAAAAAAGATAAACACAATAAGGGTAGGCGAAACCGGTATATTCATATATAGATCAAAGACAAGAGGAATAAAAACAAAAAGATAAACAACAACAACAACAGCGCAAAAGAAAAAAAAAAGGAAAAAACATGCGTCTCGTGATAGCAGTAAGCTTATTGCTGTTTCTTTTCTGTGTTGTTTCTCCATCCTTATCATCTGCTTCTGTTACTACTGAATCTCATACGGGTGGGGTGAGAAAGAATGATGAAACCGTCGCCCGTCTATTACAGGAGTTAAAGGAGGAAGGCCATCAAACACCGCCAGAGCCCCCAAAACACTTGGGCGTGCATGCGGCCTGCCTTAAACATGGACTTGGATGCCCAGACTCCTACGTGGATTTCCTGATGAAACAGAAGAAAGAAGGAAAGACAAGCCAAGAGGATAACAAGATAAATGAGCCAATACGAAAAATACCGTCATCAGGAACTTATAGTAATGCTGCAAATGTAAGGAGAAATGCACCCAACAGTAACAAGGATGCTACAGATGAGGTGCATCTAGAAAATATTCGTCGAGTGCGCAATGTTATGAATGATCGGCTAAAGGAACATCAATCACCAGAAAAACAGTGGCATTGTCAACAAGTTCGTTGGTTTCACAGGGGACTAAATACTGCTCTTACTCTCCACAATGTATTGGTAGACCGTTATTGGAATTTTATTATTTATTCTTTTTTCCCATGTGTTCTTTTAACTACTGTCCTCACATGGATTTTCTTTGGTGATCGAATGCCACGCGAACATCTTTTGAGTCTCCTCGCTGATGATCCTAATGTTGCTTTGACTGCAGAAAGAGCCCGTCGCAAGCCACCACACTCTGTGGCTGAATTGGTAATACAACGAGAAAGTTACAACAATTCCAGTTATGTAGATGCAGATGAAGAGGATGATGTTAACGGAGATGTGGAAGGGGCGGAATTATTACCAATGGCTAACCTGAATGAATTGGTGCGTCTACAGAAAGAAGCGCGAAAGTCTGATATTCAACACCGTGTGGATCGTTGGAATGTCGCTCGCTTTGCTCTCCTTGAAGCACACTCCGAGTCCACTGCGGCCGTAACGGTCCTAAAACTGCGACTCGTGTTAAGTTTATTGGTTTTCTTCACACTTGTATGGACACTCTTCGCATTACCTCTGCGAGTGGCGGATCTTCACAGTAGTAATGGTGGTATTTTCCAGTTTCTATTCGCTTCCATTTGCCCATCATGGATGACCACATCGATCGCACTTTACTTTGCCTGGTCGTGGATGGGCAGTATGGTCGCTTTCGCCGGTTGGGAGGTCGTCTCTGCGGGGGAGGCGATATTAAAGTCGGACGCCCACGCCGCGGCCCTGCATGAGAAGATCCTGCAGCATTGGTGTAGTTAAAGAGAAGATCAAGTGGACCGAATTGTAAAGAAAGAAAAAAAGAAAAAGAAAGAAAAAAAATGGATGGAAAGAAAAAAAAAAAATTATGAACCATGGAAGAAGTGGTGAATGGTGAGGAGGAGGAGGAGGAGGAGGGGGTTTCAAAGGAGCAAAAGAAAAAAAAAAAGAAATAAACAAAACAGAAGAAACAAAGAAGGGTGAGAAAACAAAACGACTAAATTTGTGCGTTTCTTCTTCTTTTTTTTTTAGTGGTACTGTTAGCGGTGTTTACCAGTGTAATTTATTTGGATTTTTACAGGACACCTGGTAACGTGGGGTTTGGAGTTTTCGCAATTAGTTCAACTTTTTTTTTTTCTTTTCTTTTCTTTCTTAATGTTTCCCTACAATGATGTACATATAGTGGTGAGAGGAGAGAACAAAAGAGGGTAGGAGGGAGCAAAACAAACAAAAAAAAAAAAAAATAACAACAGGACAAACACACAACCTTGAGTTGTGTATACCACTAATACTTCTGTTTCTACATTTATTGCTTCTTTTCTTTTTTGTTTTTTTTTTTTTATCCCCTTGTCATCATCCTCGCTGCTTTTTTTTTTTTTTTTGCTAAACCCTGAAAAGGGGATACAAATAATAAATAAAAAAATTAAGGAGTTGCTGTGGCTTCACAGGTACACATCATATTTCGTTTTTTTCTTTTCTTTGGTATTTGCTTTCTTCATTGTGGATTAATACATAGGCACATTTATTACACACCTAACCACTGGAAACACAAAAAAAAAAGAATAAAAAAAAAAGAAGAAAAATAAAAGAACATGTGCACAATAGAGCAGGTGACAGTATACACAGATGTACAGGATACAGAACTGTTAAATCATATCACTACAGTTGTCCGTGATTTTTGCAAGGATGCCAAGATTTACACAGTTCCTGAGAAGGATGCTGCAGATCCATTGGCGTTTTTAAACATCTGGGAAAAGGAAAGGGATGATGTTTGGTCGTTGGTGAAGAATAATGTTCCTCTTATGCATCGTTTTGAATGCTTTGTTACGGATTCAAAAGATGAAAAGAGTGGTGCTGTGGCATACGCATTATATTATCGAAAGATGCCTGTCCTCTCCTTAGTTACCCCTGTATCTAATCCATCGTCAACTATAATGAATAATGCCAATAATAATAATAATATTGTGGGCGACAATGAGGAAGATTGGATTACAGCTGCATTGTACTTTACACCAGCTAAATTAGGATGCGTTTCCCTCTTTGATGCTGTTAAAAGATTTTTCTCTTTTCCCGAAAAGGGAGGAAACGTTATTGCCATTGAAGGCGAGGATGCGGCGCTTGTCTTGTCGCAGTGTCGACGACTGCGCGCTCACATGCAGTCTGAGTCTAAAATGCCGGTCTGTGTTGTGGACGCTAGTGGTTGTGATATACACGATATGTATACAGAAACCACCGAATATGAAAAGGAAGAGGGTTTGTACGATAAGTTGATAGAAGACTTTTTGAAGAATAGCAACAATTGTGAAATGCAGCAGATACGTGAGGCATATCCGCAGTTTCACGGTGCGCTTTCTGTTTTAAACCGATATCATAATCTTCCTCTTTTACGGTATAGACTACAAACAGGAGTTAGTGTTATTTTATATCAACCATTCTCAATGGTTCTCAAGGAACTCGTATGTGGATGTAAGCAACAAGGAATGAACGTAACAGAAACACAAAAATTACTCTCAACTGTCATGCCGTCACTTCTACACTTTGAGAGACATTGGCTTGGAATGCCAACGGCAGAGGTGGTTTTAATTCGTGAGAAGATGATGATAAAGAATACAACTTCTTCTTTGGCGCATTGGAGTTCATTACTGTGGAGTGAAGAAGGGATGCCGATTGCGGATGTCTTCTCCAAATGGCATCAAGTGGTGTTTAAGGATAAAGAAGGTGAAATGTCAGCTGTTGGCGGCGGTACTGCAGGGGATGAAATGAGGCAACAACAGGAGAAGGAGATTCAGAATAGTATAAATGCCAAACTGCAATCTTTTATCTCACTCTAAATGAGGAATTAAGGAGATTCCCAGAATTGAGCTCCATTCCATTTGGAGAATAAAGGTAAATGGATATAAAAGGATAGAAAAAAAAAAAAAAAAAGAAAATCCCATTCAAAAAGAAAAATAAATGAGAAATTAGTTTTGGTTTTTCTGGCAACATTTTTTTTATCTTGTCAGTTTTTCTTTTTTTTTTTTATTTGGAGCTTGAAGAAAGGAATCCAGTGATATTACTTCCATTTGCTAGAGGTAAACAACAACAACAACAACTACTACTACTACTACCGAATAAAAAAAAAAATATTTTCACATTTATCCTTTATAAAAAAATTATTTATTGTGGGGTTTAAGCCTTTGAAAGTTAATTAAACCATAAATATCTTTGATTATATATATATATATATATATATATATATATGGGGAGGTGAATCAGAGACGTTTGTGGCGTCTCCACCCACTTCTTTTGTTAACCCTCAATCTCTCATAGATAACAAACAAAGAAAAAAAAGTCACTTAGACTTCATTGGGGATTACTATATAGATCTAGCATGATATATGAGAAAATCCCCGTCTCCCCAAAGAAACTAAAGAAGAATACCAGAACTATTTCTTTCTTTTTCTTGTCTCTATTTTTTAGGGGGTTAGGGAGTGGAAAGAGTAAGTCATAAACTATAGTGTTTTTCTTTTTCATTTCTTTCTCTTTCTCTTTTCCTCTATTGTTGCGTAGTTTGTATGATCACACCAATGGTTGTGCTATTCTATTCTCATGTGTATGAATGTGTACCCTTTTTTATGTTTTTTTTTTCTGTTTTTTTCTGTTTTTACTTCTTATTAGAGCGTTGTGTGTTTGTTTGTTTGTGTGTGTACGGAAAAAGAAAATTTTGAGTGAAGGAACAAGAAATAACAACAATAAAGAAGATTAAAAATAAAAATAAAAAAAAACATAATATAGTATCTTAGAGGACTAGAAACTTAGTGCTTTACATGGCGAAGATTAACGCAACGTATAGCTCTGGCTACTACCTCGCACCCGATACCGATTATCGCAAGCTTGAAGATGAGCAGGAGCGGAATCGAAAACGTGAACGTCGTGAAGGGCGTCAACAACAACAACAAGGTGATGTAGAAACTAAAACGGCTATTCGACAGACATTTGCTATTCCGTTTAATATCATCTGTCTTCACTGCAACCGCCGTATTGCACGAGGAACACATGGATATGTGAACCGTCGAGCGACGGAAGAGAAGTACATGGGTATACGCATCTGGGAATTAGAATTTCGTTGTATCTTCTGTAAGGGGCATATATATCTAAAGACAGACTATGAAACCGCAAAATTAACAGGTGGCTATCATTGTAGTCGCAACTGTAGAAGAGGTGAGGGAGATTTTTACGGTACAAATCAAATTAATGAAGAGGTTCGAGCGCAGCAGGCGGCAGAAGAGGCGGAGAAAGGCACATTAGAGGCATTGGAGCGGGAGAATGAGGCAATGCGAGAGTTACAAGAGAGAGAACGCCTCATTGAAGAACTTGTGGAGTCGCGGGCAGGGAGATTGGAGGAAGATACACGGGATGAACTGTTGAATGCTATTCAATCGAGAGAAAGACAACGACAACAAGAGGAAGTAAAAGGAGAAGAACAAGAAGAAGAAGAACAACAACAACAGGAGGAAGGTGATGATCATGGTTCATTGAAGAAACTAAGTGTTGAGGAGGAAGAGGCTTATCAGCGCTTTGAGGCACAACTTCGTTCTTGGCGCGAGGAGGCAGAGAAGCAGCAATCAAAAGATGACGCCGGGGAGGAGGCGAGAGTAGCAGCAGTCATCACAGCAAAATATTCTACCGCTCCTGCCACTACAACAGTATCCGCACCAACCCCACAAGCACAACCACAACCACAATCATCAACAACAATATCAACATCATCATTAACAACATCAAAAACAATGGTAGAAAAGCGGCAGAATGTCTTTATGAATGACTCAGATTCAGACTCAGACGGTATGGACCTGACATTGACGAAGAAAGAGCGTGATGTATCAAAAGTAGTTTCCAATACCTCTACTGGGGGTACATCTACTACTACTACTACTACTACTACTACTACTACTATAGCATCTAGACGACGAAAAAGTGGTGTATTGAGCTCTTTGTTAGATGATTAAATAATGTTCTTTTTTTTGTTTCTTTTGTGGTTGTAGTTGCTCTTGTTCTTTATCCTTGGTTTCAAGTGTTGCACCGTAACGATTGGTGTTTTGAGGTTGAAAATGTTTTTTTTTTTTTTTTTTTATTTCTCTTTGAATTACAGTATATTTCCCATTAATATTATTCTTCTAGTAATCTTCCGTTTTTTTTTTCTTTTATTTTGAGTACAGCTCTGGAAGCTTAAACTGAGCTTCGTTATTTGATTTCTTTTTTTTTTCCCTTTTTTTTTTGTGGGGCGAAGTAAGGGGACTCAAACAGAGACACAGTAATATATATATTACTTCTAGGTTTCTTCATCTGCAAGACGTCCATCAACACTTAAGAATCATCAACATCTGTGCGCGATGACTCATCCGGGAGAAAATGACCCATTTGCCTTTATGCAAGCCGGAGGACCACCACCGTGTCCCACTAATGCCTCGGTATTGCAACAACAACAACAACAACAACAACAACAACAACAACAACAACAACAATATCATCAACAGCAACCACAACAACTACAACCACCACCACCACCACCATCATCATCATCACAACAACAAAAACATTCCCCAGAGGGGAGGGCCAAGGTGTTGGCGCACAATCCCTTTTCCACTATGGGAATGGGCGGCAACAGCAATAGCGGTGTGATGGGAGGAGTGAAATCGGCATCTGTACTACCGCCGCGCCAGCCACTCTACAAGCCTCCATTGATGCCCGGTACGCAAGTAGGCGATGTCAGGCCAGCTTCCAATGCTCCTTACACTGCACCACACCATCAGGGACTACCAGAAGAAGAACGGCAGACGTTTGGGGATCAACAGCAGAGACCACAACAACAACAACAACAACAACAACAACCTCAAGAAAAGTATCATTTACGGGACGAGCAGCAGTTGCCACCCCCACCCCCACCACCACCACCATCATCATCAACGACAACAACAACGGCAAAAATGCAACAGAGCCACGAACAGCAAACGCCATTGCCACACAAACAGGAGGAACTTCATCAGCATCCAAGTTTATCTGCATCCAGGGAAACTCCGACTCTTCTTCATACTGGGGGAGGGCAAACTGAGACATCAACTGGATTGACGGGTCTCCGGAAATTAGACACAGTAAATTCTGCAGATACCCCGTCGGCTTACTCTCGTTCCCCTACCGTAGCACTACGAGCACCCTCGCTGGGCAATCTTCACTCTGCACTCTCAAGTGCAGAGAAGCACCGTGGGACCACTACCCCAAGAAAAACTTCTTACTTCGCTCATTTGCTAAAAAAGGAACCACCAGAATTTTTGAGGCCTTCAACGAGCGCAACGAGGCGTGAACGAACTCCAAGAGATTCACGCCCTCAGACTCCACTTCACTCATTACTTTCACTCCCTCGAGCTAACGGTGGTACTCAATTTGGTGCGTGTTCTCGTTCAAGTAGTACAAGGACGCATGATGAAGAAAGACAACGCCCACAACAAGAACAAGAACAAAAACAACAACAGCGACATCATCAACACCAAGAACAACAAGGACAAGAACATCAACAAGAGGGGCAAGAACCGCAAAATACACTTCAGCATGATCAAAGGCCACCTCCAGCACCTAGTTTAATGATGAGAAATGAGATAAAGGGCGGTGGATCTCTTCTCTCCTTGGTCTCAGATCCAGTAGAAGAGAAGTTTAGGAACAAAACTCCTGTGAGTGTTCCCCCAACCATGTCTTCAGAATTTCCCCATCTTGTTGAAACACAAGCATTATTAGTCCCTTCACATTCGGTAAATGTAGAAAAGGCATCTGAGACAGCGTTTCCTTCAGGTTCATTTCCGGTAAATAAAACTGATGGTTCCCTTCTTAGCAGTTTTGCAGATGAGAGACTCACGTCTCTGGACACTGGAGTGCTTAAGAATGAGAGTGCCAGCGATATACAGTCGCATAAGCTAGGTGAAAAGCTTCTTCCAGATGCAGAGGATGGGGCTGAAGCAGAGGACGCACCCTTCGCCTTTGCGACGCCATTTAATGCGGAAAATGCGTTAAATGCTGTAAATGAAGGAACATCTAGTATTCTTGACACAGGCAATGATAGTTCAGGTCCACCACCAAGACGAAATACTGTTCCACCAGAAGAAATGCAAGAATTTGGATTTCTCTCTAACAGTAAAAACACATCAGATGTTGAATCAACACTTCCACCACCTGTACCTGGGGCTTTTGTTAATCCTACTACAAGTGGTGGATCAAAAGCTCCCCTCAAAAATCTTAGGGAAAGAACAGACCCTTTAATGGACATGGGTTCGCAGATGACACATCCAGGGTTACACACACCGCGAAATGGTGATACAAATCTTCGAAGATTATACACAACACGACCTCTTGAAGGAGGAAACGAGATAACAGAAGATTCTCCGGCACCATTCCCACCGTCACGCCAAGAGTCACAAGAAGTAACCTTGACATTGCATGCACAGACTCCTATGACGAATGGTACATCCTGCGTAGATAATCCTTATCGGGAAGATAATACAGAAAAAAGGGTACAAGAGGAAGATATTGACGAAATGAAACCGGTATTTATTGAGGCTGATCCTGCTCATAGGTTACCTGCTGCAGATTCCTTTCCTGATGAATTAGAAGAGAAAAGAGAAACAATTGCTGATGCCCACGAATCAAAATTTGTTGGAGCTTCCACACAAGGTGTCGCTAGTGTAACAGATACAAATTTGGCACCAACAAAGCCATCACTACCACCATTACCCTCAGTCCCAGTCCAAATGATGTCAAAGCAACCAGTTGTTTTACAGAAGGATAGTGGTATTTCTCCTTTTATTGATGATCATTCGGTATCGGTAACAAAACCAACAACGGCAATGAAGCCAACAACCAAACAGCAACGTCCTACTAGAAGACCGTGCTTTGCTCTTTGCACCTCTACTGGATATGTAATCACAATTGTTAATCCATCTCAACCTGGTACCTCAGTACTTCTGAGGTCAACTCATATTGCTGAAATGCTCTCTGGACATGTTAAGAATACGAGTTGTTCTAGAGCTGGTGAGGATTATGTGAAAACGCTGCAAACGTTGGCGAGTTCTCCTCTTACATCTGATCTTAACTGTAATCTTCCTTTGAAGGACCTGCAAGCGGTGCTACAACAACTTCCAGATGTATCTCCTTTATTGCGTGAAGTATTGACTTTTATGTTGCATGACCCCATACCTGAGTGGCGTAATGGTGGACAAAAAACTCTTATTGAAATACTTTCTACAGTAGCTAAACAGGTACCAATAACAAATGAAAAATCCCCAAATTATCCACTGAATTTGCATCCAGTTCAGGTTTCCCCTAAAGGACTACAAGAAATTCAACAACTTTTGTGTTCAGGAGATCGTGAAGGTGCAGTGGAGGTTGCCTTAAAACATTGCCTCTATTCCCATGCCATCATCATCGCCATGATGTGCCCAAAGAAGGAACACTATATGAGTGTTATTCGTGCCGTAGTGGGGCAAGAACTAGACCCGTATTCTCCATTGGCACATGCTTACTGTATGTTTAATGAGATGCCACTTCCACCGTTTTTGCCACCAAAGCAGTCTGTAGAGCAGATAACCCCTTTTTCGGAAGCTCAGGAAAACAATAACAACAACAACAAAAGCAATAATAATAATAATAGCAGCTACCTAATTAAGGATTCATGGGTGCAGCATGCAGCGATCATGGTATCAAATTTTACCAAAGAAAGTGCGGAAGGACTGATAAAACTTGGTGACACATTGATAGATGAGGGTATGATTGAGGAAGCTCACTGTTGTTTCTTATTGGCTCATTTGACTCCTATGGGAACACCTCCCCCTGGTCGGGCAATTCAACCACAACAACAATGTGTTATGGATCTCCTTCGGACACGATTAGGCATACTGGGTGGTCGCTATAATCCACGGCGTTCTCGTGTGGTATTCATATCACCCAAATCGACACTACTGACCAATATTCTTGATCATATTCGTCGTCACCTAGATAAACAGGTTTCTCTCGCCAACGATAGTGGAAACAGTCCGCAACCTCGCCATGGACTGCCTCTCTGTCCAGAACGATATATGGTGGCGTTCCGTTACATGCAGGTACTCTGGCTACAGGAGGTTGGAATGTATGAGAAGTCAAAGGATCTCATGGCCTCCCTTCGACACGCTGTGCCTTCACCTTCACCTGAAGTACCCCAATTTACTCTAAATCGTCTTATTCTTCATACGGCAACCTCGCTTAATTCTTTGGGGGAGAAGAAAAACATTTCGTCAACAGAGGAGCTTGGAAGAAAACCTTTGGCAAATATGCAGATGGTACCACCACCACCACAGTCATCTCACCCGGGAAGTGGAATGCCAGCAGCAGGACCACCACCACCAC